TAAGACTATGGGCTGCTGCTACTGGACAAAATTCTCCCGCGCTCAGGCTCTGCTGATGCAGCAGATATGAGCGACGAAGCGTGCGTGTAAGGAAAAGCAGTAGCTCCAGAGTGGTGCTTATGGCTTAAGCGGCTGCTTCAAGAAACTACTGACAACTAAGTGTTTGGCCATCAGTCCAAAGCTGCCAGGTTCCGCCCCATTTGGGGATTACTACTGGTTCAGCTGAGCCATCCAGACTCAAGGCCTAACAAACAAGGCTACAAGGCAGCTACTCAACCACAGCCTACAACGAGCGAAATGAAGCGGAAAAGTCTGAGCTGTGAAACCTGCTAAGTAGTTGCATAGGCTAAAGTTCGCACAGGGACATTGCAATCCTTCAGGAGAGAACTCACTAGGGTGGATTGCTTGCCAGGAGGCGACCTCACTAGAGGAAAATTATGGCTCAGGCCGCTTCTGCTAGCGAAGGGTGGCGTGAAAGCACTGAGCTGGAAACTTAGGCTTCTCATGGAGAACGCCTTTTTGAGAGATATTCTCGCTCAGTCCGCTGCCACTGCAGTGTGAGTTAAAAGAAACTGAAATAACAACTGGCAACCAGCTAGCATCATTCTTCAGTGCCTTACCCGACGAACGGGACTACTAGGCCACAGCACTGCCTCACCCGACGGACGGGACTACTAGGCTGTCTTGACCAAGCAAAGAAATGAAAGTTACATCTTGCTGCCTTACCCGACGAGCGGGACTACTAGGCACTGCATGAGCCTGACCCGACGAACGGGACTACTAGGCTGAAATGTTGGCCTTCTCACCAGCATTGATTGGAAGATGTGCAAGTGAAAGTGTGTAGGGTGTTGGGTTCAAGGTGGGTTGGTGTGACGTTGAGAGCACAAGCGCAGCGAAGAAACAAGCCGAGGAGAGCGTTGTGTAAAAGCGTGCGAGCATAGCTTTCGGGGCTAATACCCCTGCACTGAGTGTCCCAGCGGAGTTCTTTTGGACTGCGTAACCACTCAAGAGCTTCTCCTGGAGCAAGCGGGCCGTCACGACCTTCTCCCCTAGGTCTGCAGCCGCGCCAAGCGCTGGCCGCGCCAGCCCGCCAAGCTCAGCACTGAAGGCTTGGAGTAGAATACATTGAGAAATGTTGGGTAAATGGCTTCCCCTCAAACTAGAAACTGCTGCGCGGCATCCTCAAAGCTGGTGATGAAACATCAGAAGACTTTCTCGCCTGAACTGTGAACAATACCAGATTTGCAAATACGCATTGGCCAGCGCCGTCCGACTTCAGCTTCCGAGTACCAGAGGCAATGATGAAGGGCCGTATAGAGATCTGCCGCTAGCGCAGCAGGGACTCAGGCTTGTCTCCGTCAACTTGGCTGGGGCTCGAGGCTCCCGCTAGTAGGACCGCTTCGTCGGACAGCATCTGTAGACATGCCACTGAAATAAAAACACTGTTGATTGTTGCCAAGCCGCGGCAAGACCTGCATGAACTAAGAACACCATTGCTCTGCTTTGTGAACCAGCGCATAGAAAAATCCCGTCATTGTAAAAGCCTCAAAATTATCCCCTCTGCCATCCGCTTGTTTTGCCTGAAGTGCCGAGGCACGATCAGACTCCCCTCGTCCTGCGGAAAGACGAGAACCCTCACACTTAGGAGTGATGGATGCAGTCTAAGACGATCCTATTTCTCCCCCCGGAATTGGGACCGGGCCAGCTCGTGGTTATGCTGTCTGCAGCGGAATCTCAAATGCTAGAGGCTAATGCCTCAAAGTGACCATCAGCTGGCAAGAGCTAGAAAGCCTTGAGATGTTAGAGGGCCCCGAAAACTGTTAATGAGATGAAGTTCGGGGCCTTGGCCGGTTCGACAGCTACCATGCGCGGGCGGCTTGAGCTGGTAGTGCTTCAACAGCAACAGCAACAACAACAACAGCAACAACAGCAACAACAGCAACAGCAACAGCAACAGCAACAGCAACAGCAACAGCAACAGCAACAGCAACAGCAACAGCAACAGCAACACCACCACCACCACCACCACCACCACCACCACCAACAACAACAACAACAACAACAACAACAACAACAGCAGCAACAGCAACAGCAACAGCAACAGCAACAGCAACAGCAACAGCAACAGCAACAGCAACAGCAACAGCAACAGCAGAATCACGAGATTCACCGCCGGCCACGAGATTGATGATAAAAAAATCAGCGCGTTGGATCTTTCTCATGCACGCGAGTGCCACCAAACGTGTTTCGATCCGCAGCCAAGCGCACAAGCTGAGGACCTCAATCCTCTGGGCTGGGTGAACCCGCCCCCACTTGACGTCTTTCACTTTTCTGACATGGACGGTGATGGAGACCTGGATGCTGTGGAGCTCACCCGGGACTCGCTGAAGTTTTGGAGGCGCAAGCTAAAGCAGCCAAAACTAGGCAAAAGCGACATGAAGACTTGCGAGGCCAAAAGGGTTCATGGCTTGTCCCAGATTTTTTCGCCGAGGCAGGTGGGTGTGCAAGACTTCATCGAGCGCGAGGTGCACCAAAACCCTTTCAGGTATGCATCTCGCCAAGCATGCCCAGCCGCGAGAGATTCTCCGTGGCAGGGTTGTCACCCCCAAGCTTTCATGTTGGACCCTCGGTTTTTCAAGGCTTCGGCCCATGAAGCTACCCAAAAGTGCGTAGGACCAGGCAAGGCAGCGGGGTGATTCGGGTTTGGAGGGCCTGGGCTTGAGCACTCGTAGAGTCGGGCTCGGGGAATACTTCCAGTGCTACTCTGCTACTCCGATACTGACGCAACAGCTGCACCACTACAGCTCCACCATGCAATGCTTGAAGAGGATCTTGGTTTAGGATTTAGGGCTTGGGGCCGTTTAGGGTTTACTTGGGTGAGCCCCCAAAATGGAAGCCCTGGAACCGCAGATGCCCTTCTAGGGGTCTAGGGTGGCTTCGCCACCCCAAAGGCTCAAGTTGACAGCTTCTGCGCGGCTTGAAGATTGAAGGCCTCAAAGATTGGGGTTTGGGGCTTAGGGTTCTGGACTTTCCTGCGCCACCCGAAGCAGTAGCTGGATGATGCGCACTTGCTTTCGGAGCTTGCTACCCCTGAACCCGAGACTCTGGAAGAAATCCTAAACCCTAAGCCGCGCATTGAATAAAAACCCGGAGCCAGAAGCCCGCAGCATTATTCCAGAATGGGGGCGAGCCACCTGCAAGCCTGAGAACCAGAAGCCACACTGCAGTATGGCATAGTCGAACATGTACTTTCGCATATTCTTGTGTACTAGCGTGACGTTCGAGTGTGCTGCAATATACGCCTCTTTAAGCCAAGGTGAAAGACCAGGACATTGTGGAGACATTTACAGTGGCCGACTGGGACCAAGATGGGAGGTCGGGCACACTTAGTAAATGGGGGGGGGGTACACTGTAGAAGAATGATTTAAGCCATATGCAATCGTAGATCATCCTGACTTCAAGGATGCCTCACGATCTTTGGAGACCCTTGTTGGCACCAAGGGCTGTTGCAAAGGGGCTCTTTTTATATGCTTTTGTGCCCTGAGAGGATGGACCTCTTGTTCTTGGATATGCTGGTCGATCCCACGGACCTCATGCGGGAGACCTTGTCCGTGGAGCTCTGGCAGTCGGGCGCAAGCCTGTACGCGAAGACCGTGCCGTTCTTGGGTCCCAGGAAAGTTCAGCCCTTTGCATTTTGAGCTTAGACCCGAAGTTGACCCTTGGAGCCGGCAGATGTGTCGAAGAACATATGCTACCAAGTAAAAGGGTACCTTGTTCTGCTTTGTATAAGATAGCCGCCGTAGTATGCTGTGTTGTATACTGTGCAGTTTGTAGCATGCCTTTCTTTGTAGTCCCAATGTCCTGAAAAAAAACCATTGCTTCTCCTTTGAACCCTACCCGGAGCTCCTGGACCCTCACCCCTATGAGACTAGAGTATGCCTGTGACTGTCGTCGTGCCGTGCTAGCCAGCATTTAGGGTGACTGTACTCGTACTTTGCGGTGCGTTGCAGTTGCGCGTGGCTGAGTGTAGGGCCAGCACTATGTATAGTGCGGGGCCTTGAGCTGTCAAATTGTATGTGTTTGGAGAAGTCTGCTCGCGTCCAATCCTCGTGTCTCGGTCCTGTTCAACCACCCTGGCAAATCTGAATACCAAGACAGGCTGTTGTCCGCATGTGTGGGTGTCTTGTTTGTGGTTGTTAGTTCATGTAGGGGTTCAGGCTTCATGGCCTTTTGTAGATATGCAAGCATGTCCTGCAAAATATTGGGCTTCAGGTTGCTAAACCTTATGAACCCTAAACCTTGTAAACCCTACACCCTAAACCAGCTCCGCGGGCCACCCAGGTGCTTTTCAGAGAAAGCGAGAGCACGCATTTTAACTTCACCTCGGCGTCCCGGAAAGCCGCAATGCAGCTGGGCATTTTGGAGTTTAGGGGTTTGGGGTTTAGGGTTTAGGGTTTAGGGTTTAGGGTTTAGGGTTGTGTGTGGGTATATTCGTGTCGGAATCCTTGCCCGCAAAGGTGCCAAGCACCGGCTGACCACTCAGGCATCAAGTCGGCTTTACCATTCGTGGCGATTCGAAGCCAACCAGCCCGCCAGCCATGCCATTCCCCACACTCCTCTTTAGAGTGCGTTCTCAACAGCTCGCGGTATTCAAAGAATCAAGTCAGACCCAACATGAGGCCCTGGATCACGAAGATTTCTCCCCACAATGTTTGGGCAGAGCGTAGAAACATACCGTCCGACGACCATGGGTCAAGGTCAGAGTTGAGAGCGTGGGACGCCATGTAGACAGCGTCGCATGCTTTTGCAGAAGGGTATCGGGGGACACCAAACCCTCAAACTTCTCGCCACCCAAAGTCCTAAAGACTACCTTCCAAGATCTCAACCTCCAGACTTAAAGCCTAACCCCTGAACCCGAGACCCAACAACTGAGCCCGGCTTTTTCCGAGTTACACACCCGTAGTAGGTGCGCTGTAGATATACCCTTCTGGTTCATGCTGCACTGTCTTTCTTCTCATGCTTATGAAGAGCACATTCTGTTGCACTTTGCGATGCACTGAAGGCAGCTGGTGCACTGGGATGGCCGGCCGGAGAGGTCCATCCTCTTCACGGGCCTGGCAGACGGCCCTTTGCCTCCCAAAAGGTGCAATTCTAGAGCTTTTAGGGTTTAGGGTTTACGGTTTAGGGTTTAGGGTGTAGGGTTTAGGGTTTAGGGTGTAGGGTTTAGGGTTTAGGGTTTCGGGTTTAGGGTTGCCTCGAGGGCTCACGATGTTGTGGTTTAAAGGTCCAGGTAGCCACGGCCCTTTCGGCCGTTTTTTTGGGGGCAGAGCCTCAGTCATATGAATTTTGGAATCCTCCCCCGGCGTTGCATGGCAAGGACATCAGCGACTGCTGGAGGCTCTGCGTCAGCCCCTAAACCCTAAACCCTAAACCCCAAACCCCATCTGTGAGTTCGGCGCCGGTGGTTCTTCTTTTGTAATTGTGTTTCCATGTTGGGCGGTCTTAGACCCTGTTTCCTCACGGCATTGCAAAGAAAGGTCTAGGTGTTCTGGGGTTGCAAGGCTTCAGCTCCAAGACAGTGAGGTAGACGAGCGCTTCGGAGATTCTCCAGGGGTGTGCTTGATAAAGCTTTGCACGCAGCTTCTTTTCGGCGAGTCGAAGCGTGCCCTTGCCTCCAAGCCCAGAATGGACGGCAACATTCTGACATTTCATTCATTTCAAGGACGAACGTTTCCTAACCCCAGATCTCCAAGCAATCAAAACCAGAAAGCATACGGGATGTAGCTGATACAACAAGGCGTTGCAACTGAACCATCCTACATTCCGAACCATCCCACACGCTGAGCGAAAGCCATAAGCCCAGCCCCGATCTAAGCGGAACATGTATCCCAGAAACTCTAAACCATAAGCCCTAAACCCCAAACCCTAAATCCTAAACCATGAACAGGATGAAGGCGGCGGCAACTTCACCATGAGATTCCTTTCACAAGCGCCCCTCGGCGCCTGCGTCGCAGTGGATGCCGACCACGACGGCGATTCGGATCTGTACCTTCGCGGACTCAACGGGGCTCAAGCTGTTCAGGGGGTTCAGAGTTGAAATTATCTAGCTGAGTTATATAAAGTGGCGTCTTATACTTTGTTATATGGATGAAAACACAAGAATCTTTTAGTTCTTGTGCGCGTTTTCTTTAGAAATGTCTCTGCCATGACTTCGTGAAGTAGATCAGATATACTGCTCTTATTGAAGCATCTTCGCGCGTTCATTTTTAGCATGGCACTTGGCCTTTTCTTCCTCGTCGCTGTTACTATCCGCGCAATCCTGCTGAATACTCTTGTACTTCCATACTTTTTCGCAGACCTTATTGTCAGCAGTGCCAGGCCAAGCAACGATTCCGGGTTAAAGCTACTGTCATGGTTCATTTCGATATGATCATTGTTGTTAGATCGCTCCTGCTGCATTATCTCGATGTGTTGCTGCTGTTGTTCGAGTCTGTTTGTGCGAGATGCGTGTTTATGGTTGGATCTGTTGTCGGTTTATGCGCAGTGTCCTGATTAGATTATTGCTAGCAAATGTCCGCCTCAGCCGGCGGCAGTGGTGCCAACCGGCGAAGGCCAAAGTATCACCACTTCACCACTGCCACTACTTGGGGCCCCTTCCCAAACCTTCCAGGCTATCAGCTTTGATCAGAGCGTGTATTGTGGCCTTGGGCCCCTTTTCTTCCTGGTCTCCCCCTGTGGCACCATTGTTCTTACTCTTCCGTCGTTATACTTCTCATGGCTCAGGCTTTAGAGTTTCCATGCGGTTTCTGTGGCAGACCATGCGAGTCTTTCTTGGAAGGTACTGTGTGGACAGCGCGAACGTGAGCTTCCACCGGAGCATCGGCGGGGAGGGGGCTTTTGAGAAGGTACCTTGGCGCCACTTGAGAATCTCTGATCCGAAGCCTGGGGATGGAGCATGGAAGATGTACCTCCTCGAAAAAAGGTTTTCTAGGGTTTAGGGTTAAGGGTTTAGGGAACCTCAACGCATGGGTTGGAAGCCCAAAAACCTTGGCCTCCGCAAAACGAAGGTGGCGGAAGTGCAGAGCCCACAACCTGGTGCTGTGTGCACCCTGCAGACCTTGAGCGGAGACCCACGGCACCAGGCATGCCGGGGTGCGTTTTGAGGGCCTAAAGGGATACATCTGTTTAAGGGCTTCAGGGTTAAGGGTTGAAGCTTGAGGAACTGGGCTCCCAAGAAACTAAGGGTCTCTCTCATCTTGGGGGAGCAAGTAGCGCGCTTGGCTTTGTTGCCTTTTTTGCGCATCGAACCATATCGCAGAGAGAGACGCACGCAACACAAGCAGACTGTGCTTGCTTGCAAAAGCACCTGAGAAAGAAAGCGCCTACACCTTCTGTGCTCCTTGCACAGCAAGCACTCATTGATAACTAATGATAACCAGCCTTCGGTTTGGAGATTCAGGCCGCAACTAGGCGAACTGCCAAAAGTTTGGAAAGTCTGCAGCAAGGTGTGTCTTTTGCATTTGGGGTTTGGGGTTCGGGGGGCAGCGGTGGAAGCAGCTTTTGCTGTCCCTCCTCCCTCCTTCTTCCTTCCTTCCGTCGTTTGTGTCTAGCCGCTTGGTCTGTTACCACACCGAAAGGACCGGCTACAGACCGGAACACGCAGCTCCCTGCGGTACAAAGAATGGATGCTTCGTACAATGCGAATGTGGTATGTGTACACGGTGCATTGCTTTCAACAGCGAGGCAGCAGCATCGACGGCATCAACAGCAGCAATAGCAGCAACGACGACTACGACACCTCCAACCACAACCACAAGCACAACAAGAGCAGAATAGCAGTCACGACGAAGCACAGCAATAGAAACTATATCTGCAAGATCAACATCAACAGCAACAACAACGCAAGAGCAACAAAGACAAATCCTGTTCAATCACGATGACACGACAACATCTAGCTCAAGCGACATGCCGCCCGCAAAGTGGAACGGAACCCCTCTTGTGATGCCATGTTTGAGCGGCTTTGGGTTCAGGAAGTCAGGGCACTCCACCTGAACTCCAGCCTGTAGCCGCCCAGGTAAGCTTGGCACTGGTGTGCGAGGAAGATGGCAGCTTCACAGCTTACACGGCAAGTGGAGCTGCAGAGGCCGCTATCCACGACCTTCAGCCAATGGTCGGCTGGGCGAACTCGCCCTACTGGCCCTACTTTGTGGATTGGGATGGAGACGGAGCTCTGGACGCAGTGGCCGAGCGCAAGAACATCGCGCGCGACGGCATGCGGCTCTTCTCCCTGGGGCACTGTGTGAGCCCCTGCAACGGTGGCCGATGCGAAGCTGACGGCCGTTGCAGCTGTTTGCCGGACAGGGCTCTGGAGGATTGCTCTGGCTGCAGGACCCGTCAAGGAATGCAGGGGCTTTCTTCAAGGCAGAAGCCTAGGCCTAGGCCATAGCACAGGCACAGCAAAATCTACGAGTTCCAGCATGCAGAGATGTTGGGCGTCGCGTTGGTGTGTCGAGTTTCTGCTCACAGACCATGGACCTAGGCTGGAGAGAGCTGTTCCAAAAGGGGAAAAGCTGTGAACATAGCACACAGGGGGTCTGAGAGGGGTAGATGACATGACGACGTTGCTTGGAAGGACGGAGCACGCAATGGCCATCGACGGCTCGTGCTTGCCGTGCCCAGGTTCACGGCCTTCTGGGGTGGAGGTCTTGAGTGTTGAGATGTTATGAGGAATCCCGAAGGCTGGTTGAAGGTGCAAAGGGTTTATAGTTTAGGGGCTTCGGGGTGTGCATGTTTTGGGCTCGGGAGCGTTTCTTTGTTGGGATTCAACTGTACGGCACATACCGTTTTGGCAACCACTTGTGATGTAGGGATAACCAGAAGACAACCAGACAGACCCACGAACCCGACAACACCTTTTCACACTCTGGCGACGCGACAGAGGCACGAAGGTCCGGGAATGGGCCGAGTTCCTGCGCCACCATTGTCTTGCACTCTACCTTCGAGACACGCTTCGCTGACCCTGTATAGAAAATCAACGCTTTTATAAGATCGCGATGGCGGCGCTTTCATAAGTCCTCTCAAGTCCTCTCCAAAACACACATAGAGAGCAGACACAGACGGAGCATACAGACCGAAACCTCTCTGCACACCGATATCCAAAAGCACATCGTGAGCTTCGCCGATCGTAATTTGACGAGTCGTCATCCTGGTCGCAGACGGTTTTGTGGACACTGAGAGCCGACATGAAACTCAGCACCCTCACCCCCAAAACTTCAAGTGAAACAAGAGCTCTTCGCGCCCATTCTTTCGGGAAAAACCAAGAAACCGATTCTTGGATCCAGGCCGAGAAAAAAGCGAGAGAACGCGTCCGCCCAGGATTGCCACCGCAGGGGCCCACGATTTAAGATGAGTCCTTGGTAACAGTGTCCATCATTAGGAGCAGGGCCTCTGAAACAGCTTCACGTAAAGGGGGGGGGAGGGGGGGGGGGGGGGGGGGGGGTGGCCCCGGAGTGTCATGTCCATCCCAGCAACCTGTGAGGTTTTGGGACGCTACAGGGCACCTGTAGCCGCCGTGGTAGATGCGAAGACGATGCCTTCGCCATGAGCCAAGCCCGGGGCAACAGCTCCAACAGCTCCTTGCTGCTGGAGCGTGGGAGTGCGAGCTGCGACTGCAACCCTTACTTCTCTGGCCAGGACCACCTTTCCCTTGTGCTTTGAAGCGCGCTTGCGTCTGTGAGTGTGGCCGTACATGCAGTAGATCGAAGCAGGTTTCAGTACGTGGCAAGCATCTCTTTGCGACTGTGATTTACATGTTGTGCGGCATGTTTGACGAAACGCCTATCAGCAGGGGGGCAGGAACATGGCCATGGGGCTGCTAACAAAAACGCCCATGGTTCGTGGTGAAGCAGTTTCGAACGTCTCCGTGTACCTGCAGTGATACGTTCGTCATGCATTCTCCTCGTTGTGCATTGCTACCGTCGTTGCTTTTGTCATAACCTACAAGCCAAGTGAACATTGCCAACATGTTTTGCATGTTTTCAGAGTCTGCGTGTGGAGCATGGTGTTTAACCCTAAACCCTAAACCCTAAACCCTAAACCCTAAACCCTAAACCCTAAACCCTAAACCCTAAACCCTAAACCCTAAACCCTAAACCCTAAACCCTAAACCCTAAACCCTAAACCCTGAACTGTCGAGGACTGCTCCCTGGGCGAATGCCCTCCGGGCATGGAGCTCCAAGAGGACCTCGGGGCCTGTGCCGACTGCGCTCCGGGCATGTACAAGCCGCAGGACACCCTCAACATCCCTTACAACCCTTGACCGAGCAGGGTTTATATAGGGTTTAGGGTTTAGGGTCTTTTGGCCTTTGGTCTAGGGTCTAGGGTTTAGGGTTTAGGGTTTTGTTGTTGCCTTTGACGCGTGGTCTGACGGCATGGCCGTGGTGCTGTTGCTCCTTCTTGGAAGGGAATAAAGTGGTCAAACCATAAGGGTTTAGGGTTTAGGGTTGCAGGCTGGGAACTGGGCGTGCTTGCGATGCCAAGCTGGCCGCTTTGCCGACGGCCCGGGCAGCGAGCTATGCACACCTTGCACCTCTGGTCTCGTTCGCTATACGTCACTAGGTAGGCCCTTGGGATATTTTATATTTTCCCTTATTGGGTTTAAGAGGATCCTATTCAGGAATATTTCTCAGAGGGCTTTAAGGGCCATCCTAGGTCAGCAGCCGGAGAGGACAGGGCGCGGGGAATTGGGCTTCTGGATGTGGTGAGGGTTCAGATTTTCCATCTCTTCAGACAATGAAAGCAGACCAAACCCGGCGCTGAGAGCGTATATTGTGAGGCCGCACACTCTCCTTCATGGTACCCCCGAATTCTAGTCCTTTGCAGCGGGACATAGCACAGCACGGCACCAATGCTTGCTATACTACCTGCCTAAAACTCTAAACCCGAAGTCAAAACCTCTCCACGCTGCGGTGAGGACCAGTGCGAGCCTGACACCTCCAGTGTCTTCATTGCCGCCTTGGGCATGCTCAGCTGTGTCTCGGTTCACCCTTTGGCTTCAGGGGTCCTAAAGCCTGAACCGAACTCGGACTGCATGGCGTGCTATGCGTTAGCGCTTCGGGTGGTCCGAAGTAGGCAGTTCTTCAAGCCGACATGGGGGGAGTTCCACTGAGGCCTTGCCGGCTGCTTGCTGGTACCCATCCTGCTGGGCACCGAAATCCCGGTCCAAGACATCAGTTTCAAACGAGGCGGGTTCAGTGAACGGGTTTTCAGGTCGGGGAAGTGGGGGACCGTTGCTTGTTCTCCCTCAATCGATGTCTGGAAGAGTCGGCAGCAAATAGCAAACTCGTAAGGGCAATCCCAACCTTCAGCGTGATCATGACTTCGGCTTGAAACTAATGCAGGCGATTCCCATGGTTCTGCTTAGACTGCGATTGATACTCTGGCTATGTTCGAGGTCGCTGAGGTTTGAAGGCGGGGCGGGCGCCTGCAACCCCCGCAATCGCACGAGGCTACATACACAAAGCTGGTACTCATTCCATTTCTACCAAAGTCTACACAGCGATCTGCGGCCTGTAGTCGAGAGGAGTCGGACCGCATACGTTGCAGTTAGTAAACTGGAGCATATAGGTAAACTGCATGTTTCCCTAACTTCATTGAACCCCAAAAACCCTGAAATCATGGTTCACTAACTTTATTGAACCCCAAGAACCCTGAAATCATGTTTCACTAATTTCATTGAACCCCAAGAACCCTGAAATCATGTTGAAGCCTTGCGTCAGGGCAAGGCGTCCTTGTGACGACCAAAGGCCCGCACCTCATCCGACCAAGCAAGGATGGCCCTGCGGAGCCCTGGCTCTGAACTCCGCGGGGTTCTAGGGTTTTAGGGTTTTAGGGTTTTAGGGTTTGAGGGTTTTAGGGTTTGAGGGTTTTAGGGTTTTAGGGTTTTAGGGGGGTTTTACGGTTTAGGGTTTAGGGTTTAGGGTTCTGGGTGCTTTGTTCAGGGTTTCGGATTGGGATGTTCCCCCTTTTTTTCTAGCAGTCCTTAAATGGGAGTATACTACCCCGCCCCCGTTTAATCGTTCTTAAGGAGTGTTAGTATGAGGGGGAACATCCCAAGCTTCGGGTTGAAGTTGTGTAGTATGGAGTATCAGCAGTACAGCGCAGTAGTACAGCGCAGTATAGCAGACAGGGTCTAGCATTCTACTGATGTACTTAGTTGCTTACATACTACTGTATGGTATGGCTCAGATGCCACTGCGGAATGCAGCTAGCCATGCCAAAATAGGCTCGAGAGCCAAAAGCTACAGGCCTTGAGCTCCCATTTTTTCCGATCTTGAGCTGCTGGAAATCTTCTTGGGTCCGTGACTTGGGTTTGGACTGTTGGCTCTTGTTGGCTTCAGGGTTGATACTTCGTAGCATGACCAAGGTCTTCTGTGAAGGAACCGGCGTGCCAGTGCTGGACCGACCAGAAGCCCGTGGCAAGCTGAAAGGGATCGTGCTAGATTCTTCGGCCTGCAAGAAGCCTTGCTCTGCATATTTTTGGCTTGCTGGCTTCTCGGGGAAGGTGGATTGGAGGGCATTTGCTGGTTTCCAGGCTCGGGAGCCGTGTAAATCGAGGCTTAAGGGCGCGAGACAACTAAGGACGCTCGATCGCTCCAGCTCTGCATGGAGGCTTTCCAGCTGGCAGTTGTGGGATCTTGAATCCTAAGCAGAGTTCTCCAGAGGGCCGGTTGCACATCGCAGAATTCTGCCAAGGGTAGGGGTAATTGTAAACGCTTGCGCCAACCCGCCAAGAAGAGCCAAAAGAGTGCTGCTGCGTGAGCGTTCCCCCAGGACGGCGAGACCCTACAGGAAGCTGCCAACAGTTCGTGTGGATGCTTGGCCATTCAAGGCAGTCTATCATGACTCACGATGTAGTGCCAAATGCACGGTGTACGTTCCAGAGTTAGAATCCCTGCGGCACATGAGCCTTGGTCCTTTTTGACTGACTGCACATCGCATCCTAGTCCTTTTCTCATTGCGTACTCCCCCCAAATGATGTAAATAGCTCTTTGCGCGCGCGCATGGGTTTCATTTCAAAATCCGTCTCGCGGCCCTAGAGACCGGGACCTTCTCATCCCCCCCAGGGGCCCCCAGAATCATCAAAAATCCTGAGAAGCTCCCCTCAACCCTAAACCCTAGCCCTAAACCCTAAACCCTAAACCCTAAACCCTAAACCCTAAACCCTAAACCCCCTCCACATTCTCTCCAAGGATGGCTGCGGATGCCTCTCAGGGATGCCCTCCTCTTCAGCAGCCTCGGGCTCCTGGGACCTTACAAATCCCCCCTCAGGGGCTCCCCTAAGCACCCCTTGGTATGCTTCAAGAGAGAAAGGTTTAGGGTTTGGGGTTTAGGGTTTAGGGTTTAGGATTTAGGGTTTAGGGTTTACGGTTTAGGGTTTAGGGTTTAGGGTCCTATAACTGAACATATTTGCAGGATTTTTTTTTTGCAGCCTTATGAGGTTCATATTGTTGCACACGAAAGGAGCTGTCCCATCTTGGCGGTGGTCCTGGTCCAACTCGCCCTCTTCATGGCGGCTGCGGTGTATAGCCAGCTGCACCCTGGGCTTGCGGCGCTGACCGTGGGCTGGCTAAGAAGGGTTTGGGGTTTAGGGTTTAGGGTTTAGGGTTTAGGGTTTAGGGTTTAGGGTTTAGGGAAGGGTTTATGTGTGGTTCGGTGATGTGGGATGGAGGGGGCCTAAACACGGCGTGCAGAGTATTCGGTAGTAGGGCTTCTAGGGATTTGTCATGGCTTTCAGTCTCGTGATTTCATCTTAGACCGGGTCAGACCGGCAAATGGTGGGCCAAGGTGCTTGTGGGCCTTCTGTGCCCAGGACTGCACTTCATAGCTTTGTGAAACACTCAGAGAATTTTGGGAACCAGGCTTAGCAGGCCTCTCCGTTTCCAGCTCACGACTTCCAGCAAGAATTCTAGCCGTGCGTCAGTCGGGAGGGAAGTTGTAACCCTAAACCCGAGAGCTTCGGCCTTTGCTCCGCTCCTCTCTCAAGTCCCAGTTCATGAAGCCAGTGCTGTTGTCGGGGACTTCAGAATGCGACTTTAGATTGTTTGTCCAGCTACGCCGATACAATGCGTTTGATGTGCTTGCACGTACTGGGGACAAGGATGCCCATAGCTTCAGCTCAGCGGTACAGGGCACACCTGGCATCGGCTGTGCAGCTGCAAGCTGGAAGAGAAAATCCAGGGTTTCGGGGTATCAGAAAGAATTTGGTGAAAGCCTCGGAACAGAAGGCGAGGAAAGAGGGGGGCTCCTCTAAGAGCCTCGAGCCGAGGCTTTCTGGGATCTTTCGGCAGTTCCGCGGGCCCTGGGCCGCTCGTTACAGCCTGCTGCGGAAGGTCTGGGAGAAGAGAGGGTTCAGGCTTTAGGGGTTGAGGCGTGAGGCTTTCTTCTAGGGTTCTTCGAGCCAGTCTTGCCCTTTGCTGCGTGGGGGCTGCATCACTGGTTGCGTATTCACCGGTCTCCTGCTCTCCCGCTTAGAGCCGGCGAATCGGGCAAAACGTGCAGGGCAGCTGGTATTTTGGACCTCATCATTTCGGACGTCGCAGTGGCTGTTGCGTTTCTTTTGTTGTTGCTCGCTTCGTTGTTGAGGCTTTGGGGGCATGTCCCTTGTCGGGGTTTCTTTGTCGCTCAGCCCCTTCGAAACACTGGCCTCGCTCGCTGGAAGACTAGGCCCATGCCGCACGGCCAGGTCTGGTTCGGTGTTGGCTGAGACTTCTCTTTTTAAAGGGGCGATGTAGAACGCAACCCACGGCCAGTCTCGCAAGCTTGCGTTCACAACGGCTGCTCTCTGGCGTTCTCGGGCACTACAGTTCCGTACCGAAAGCTGCACTCCAAAACTTGGACCATGGGGCGGACGCAAATGAGATATTTAGATTCTGCGCTCGAAGCAGGACTGTAAATGCATTGGCACCTCACGATTGACGATGGATGCTGCTCTGCATGCTGGGCATGGGTTCTGTGCTGTTAGGACGCCGTTCCAGACTTGTTCCTACTCGTTGGTCAGCCTTGCTATCCGCCTGTCTCACTTAAAGACGAAATCCCCCAGCTAAAGGCCACGACGAATTGAAGGCTTTCAGTACTTGCACCTCCAACTTAGGCTTTGCCGCCTCTTACAGCTACAGCCGTCCAAGAAAGCTTGACTCCCATGGCCTGGCCTCTGAACTGTCAGAAGGTGATGCCGACACCCAGAAAGCGGGGAGACTGGAGAGTTGCAGTGAGGTCTGGTAGCATGCGCTGCACCAACACCCGCAACTCCATTTCACCCCGAAAAGCACCCGAAACCTACTCCCTTGAGTCCTACAGGCCCACAGGAAGTACCTCTCGCGACTTCAGCGCCGCCAGTCTCGGCCGGAGCGGACCCCTCGCGGATCAAGGACAAGATTTCCTCAACAGCTGCAAAGGGTCACCGGCACAGGAACTAGCACATTGGCAGAAGTTCTCCTTAGAGTATTCAAGGTTTCGGTCTTTGTCGCATGCACCGTTCAGTTTCGAGCATGAAAGCAGATTCTCCTGTCCTACACACTCTGTAGGCCACTCTATACGAACAGCAGCAAGTCTGCATGGTACCTGGCAGGAGAGCCATCACCCTCGGCCAGCTCTGCGAGCTCCAGGACAGTTCTTTCATGGGTGTAGGGTTTAGGGGCTTAGGGGCTTAGGGGTTTAGGGGTTTAGGGGTTTAGGGGTTTAGGGGTTTAGGGTTTAGGGTTAAGTTCTGTGCGGAGGTTTGTTTCGGGAAAGCAGCTTTTCGGTGGAGCTCTCTCTTGTTCCCAGATCACCCGTGAAGAGCGATGTGAGAGTCGCCAGCGCTGGTGGGCTCACGTGACTTGTGGCCTCATAACCGCTGAAACAAAGGGGTAAAGTTTGGAGCTCGAAGTTTCAGAGGCCGCTAAAGTCTTCTGCTCCTCATCCCTGACCCCAGGCACATATCAAGCCGTCCAGAATCAGAAGCCCTTAGAACCCCGAAACAGAACGCCACCCCAGAACCCATAACACTTCGCACAGGCACCCTGAGCAGACGTGAGAGTAGACTGCCCCAGATTTCGTGAGTTGAAGTTGAGAGTTTGGGGGGTGAAGGGACTCGCCGGAGGAAGCGTTCCAAAGCTTCTTGTATGACCGGAACATGTACTATATCTGCCACAACATCGCGGCTTGCCTGAAATTTTCAAGATGCTTTCCAGCGTTTCTTGCCGTGGGGCTTAAGATGATGTATGCTTCAGTGTTCGGCAGAAAAAAACGACCTAAGAACCTTAAAACCCTGAAGTCCTAAAGCAAGGTGCGACCTCTCACGGAGAAGGACAAAGTCTCCTTTGCAGAGCTTTCCGGCCCTCACGATGCGCAGTACTTCGTGAGCCACTACTGGGGCACTTCCTTTCAGGACTCCTTCGTTCCCTGTTTGTTAGAAGCCATTCTAGACGAGAAAAGGACCCCCCTTTGCGAATTTGGCTGTGTACCCTTTTTGAAGTTGTCGGTGGGGCCCTCACTTCGTGCCCCTTGCGCCTTGGCAGTGAGGGTGTGCCCACACTTCCAGGACTTTGCCGTGGCATACTCCTGCGTAAGGCGAATGGTGATTCTGTTGGAGCTTCTTGTTGGAACTCGTGCAGTTTCCTCAGTGAGCTGGCAAGAGCAAGTGGTGAAATGCCAGGAACACCTCGGACAGACCTCAGGGAAAGAGCTCAGTGCAGCAAGCAGTGCGAAACAAAAACCGGATGCCCTTGCTGGTCGGATGCTGGTGCTGCAGTTGGCAGTGCTAGCGGTACGGGTGCTGGTGGTGGTGGTGGTCGTCGTCGTTGTCGTCACTGGTTCGTCACTGGTTCGTCATCGCTATCCCCACCCCTCATCGCAACGCCGCGGTTGATGCCACCGCTGCTGCTGTTGGCTGCTGCTGATACTGTTGTGGTCATGGTTTTGATTCTGGTGGCAATGGAGTCCCATCTAGTTGTTCTGGTTCTGGCTACTCCAGAGACCCAAACAAGTTGGTTTGTTTCGACACCCAGCGAACCTGGAGAGGACTACATCCGCAGCATCTGGAAGCAGGCCGAGTCCAGCACGCGCGGCGGAGAAAAGCCAGGCTTTCTGATGCAACAGACCGCTTACTGGACCCGCGGCCACGGAATAGCCCGACTTGCCCCTGAAAATCCAGGGCGCCGGGTTTTGGGGCCTCAGAGTGGGAGGAGAGGGACCCATGAATTCAGGATCTTTCTGTTTTTCAATGGGGTCCTGCAAGAACCGTCTTCTCCCCTCAACTCTTTTCTGTACATGAGGCGCATGAGGCGGGGTGAAGATGATGGTGGTTGTGGTGGTGTGTGGTGGGGGGAAGGGGGGCGTTTTTGTATTTGCGATGGTGGTGACGATGCCATGCGAAAGAAGATGTGTGGCACATTGGCCTCAACTTGTAACAAGAACTTGGAAACTACAAGTCCATCATCTACATAGCATACACAGACCAAGTGCACAGATGACAAGCCATGAGACAGACTTGCAACGCTTCAAGTAGAGTGGCCCAGGATGCATCCATATTTTACATGATGTGCTGTTATATTTTATTATATCATATTGCATTCTCGACTTTACCATTACATTTCTTCATTCTGGTATATTGTTATACAGGTGAGGCTGGGACTCAGGAAGTTTGTAATGATGTGTGCAGTCAGAATCGGAGACATCGCCGCTTGCGAACCAAAGCGACGGGACAAGATTGTGGCCGGTTTCAGAGTGTAGCATACTATTGACTATTGTATAAGGGCATTTTGCTGTCATTTGAATTTGTATCCCTTTCAGAGGAGATTATGCACTAAAGTACACGAGAGCAACCTGCCCAGGATCTGCACCTTCGCCATCAACCAGTGGGAAGTGCTGGAAGAAGTTGGATCTGGTCACGGCAACGGTTGGCAGAACTCGTCCTTCTACCTCGCATCTGGGCCACCATTGATGCAAGTTGTTCGTGTCTCTGAGCTGGAGCTGGAGCCCCAAACCGAGTAAAAGGACTTGCTTCATTGCACCCGCAACTCTAGTGGGCTATGCAGGCTGTGGCTCTCTTGCACACACGACCCAGGCCTTGCGAAGTCCTATAAAGGCAACCCTCATGATCTTGGATGAAGATGTCATTCCCCTCACGCGCTCGTGGTGTCTCGGACAGAAGTGCAAATGTCTTGGGCATTGGCTTGTCACGAGGGCTGCATGATCTTCAGGGGTTCTGCTCTTGGCAGGGACGGGACGGGGAGATCTCGGGCCATGTATTCATGTCTTGCTTGTATTTTCCTCTGGGTGCTTGTTGAGGAACTTACACACTACTACCTAGTACCTTTAAACGGAAACAGTATTGCCTGCCATGCATCTCAGATATGGTTCGAGTTCCTGAATAAGAGCCGCCGGTTCTTAGTGGGGAATGAGGGAATGAGGGCCCTATACCTCATTCCCTACTAAGAACCAGCCCGAAGAGCCCAGTTCTCGCAGAGGTGCCTCTTTGAACTCTTCCAGAGCTTCCAGCTCAGCGCCCAGGAGCCATGGCCTTCAGATTGCACTCAACTCAAGTGTCAATCCCCACATGTTTCGGGTTTAGGGTGAGGCTATCCTGAGGTTTACCAAAACAGGATTGTACCTCGCATTTTTGTGGCCAGCAACATACCAGCAACCTACCAAGAACTGCTTCTGGCACAGGATCCCAACTTCCAGATCTTCTTCTGCACGCAATCCGGGGTGCCCCTGGGCCTGCGAAACCATCATTCTGAATAGATCTCGACTTGTCGGCTTCTCTAAAATCCCCCAAACCCCCCCTAAACCTTCCAAAACCCTAAACCCTAAACCCTGAAGCCTACAGCCTCGGCTTTGCAGCCCAGACTCAACCATGGCAACTGCAGCGTGGATGCGGCGATGGCGATTTCGGACTGGGCGTGTTAAAGTAGGTGATCGGCTTTGGGGGTGTGGGGGTGTAGGGTGCTCAGAATCAGGGTTCAAGTTCCGTTTTTGTGTGGGGTGTTGGGCTTGGCTTCCGCTTGTGCTTTAGGTTTCTACTATCCCTCTCTGTGGGAAGGCAGCTCAGTTTTTGCTTTGTTATCTTGGGCAGAAAGGTCTTTGTTCTCAGCTAGCCAGAACTGCAATGAGGTTGAGGCTGGTGAAAGTGGTAAAAAGCTCAGGACAGGTTCCCCCAAGCAATGACAACCGTCCTAACCAGACTTGAGCAGGCGTATCGTTCTGCACATTCAGCCCTGAACCCTCGAACTTGGATCGACCCCAAAAGGACAAGCTGGTGACACTTCGGCTGGAAAACGCTTCCGCCTCCGAAGAGAAAGACAAGAAGATGATTGATGAGCTCATCCAGAAGGCGCGCTGGGAAGGATTTTTTAAGAGCTTTGCGGGTTTTGGGTTTAGGGTTAAGGGTTTAGGTCTTTCCCATATGCCATAGTAAGGTTCATAAGTTCATAAGACTTCAGCATGTCCAACTCACGGTTTTTTGCCTAAGGTTACAGAAGCCCGCTAATCCTAGACCTCAAGATCTCCCTTGGCCAAGCCTCGGTTTCTTGCGTGAGAAATCACGCAGCAACGTCAGCTGCAACGACATCCCCGCTTCGCTGGGGTAAGCTGACTACCTTTGAATTGGTGGCTGTGCGTGCTTGGGATTTAAGGAAGGTTCCTACCTCAGCTTCATGAACATGTAGAAGACAAGTTCGAGTTTAAGCAGTGGCGCGGATCCTAGGCCTTCGCGGTTGGGTTGCGAGAATGAGGCGTTTTTTGCACTGGTTTCGGATGGCAAGATGCCGACAAAGACTGTCACAAGAACTTTCCGACTGCCATGCTCTCGCTCCACCAGCCTGGTTGCCAACTCGACATTTTTCGAATCCTGGACCTTGCAGACCCCATAAACCCTAAAATTCTAAACCCTAAACCATAAACCGTAAACCCTAAACCCGAGCTTTGTTCCTTGCAGCGCTGTGGCTTCCCTTGGCATGAATGCAGATGTCGCTGACCAGGAGGAGGGTGGCTTCGAGGCCGTCAACGCAGCGCTGAAGATGCGCATTTCTGTGCCTTTGCTGGAAGCGCTTCCCGAGGTTCCTTTGTAGTCTCGTAGCCTTTAGCACAGTGCACATGTCTATATTTGTAAATTCTGCGCCCACGCCACTCAACATACCCGTGCAAGTTCCCTCTTGACCTTGCCCAGCATGCTGTATTGATATGGGTGGTCGTCAAAATCATGGTCCCTTTTTGGATCCCTATCATAATACGGCACCTAATATTCAGGGTACCCCCAAAAGGGATCATAGTTTTGACAACCACCCATATAAGTTTATTGGTCAAGGCTGAGGGCTGATGACCTTTTTTTGAACAGGATTGTGTCTTTCAACAGGTCTTGGGCCCTTTCCAACCTTTAGCGGAATTTGTCTTGCAGTATGTCAAGCTCCTCCCATCAAGATGGGCTTTTGGTATTGCTTCGTACTGTCTTGAATCATCCTGGCCTCAGCGCACAAAATCTAGACCCGGTGGCCACGAGTTGTCTTTCGTACACTACCTAAGTGGAGATCCGAAACCCTCCTTTTATTGCAGGAGATCCTGCAGGCCACGGAGCAGCACCTCAGCGTTGAGCTCGCGCGCCTCGCGACGGGCCTGAAGGCTTCCCTGGAAAGCGAGGAGACTGCCATCGAATTTTAAAGGGGAAGGAGCGCTTCTGACCGGCTCCAAGGTGCACCCGGAAATTTGGGACACTGGGCCATGACTGTCATAAGCCGCTCAGAGCCGCAAGCATTGTCACTTCGGGGGAAGAGAGGGCCGAGGAGCCTTGAAGCCTACACATGCACGTATTCGGCTAGCAAGATCGAAGAAGCCCCCCATTCTGCTTGCGAAAAGAGATTCTTTTTCTAAATTTCCAGTTTTGCCAGGCTGAATGGCTGGTCCGCATCGTCGAAGCAGTTTACGGTCAAAAACCCCTAAACCCAGCAAAAGTTCTACGTCACCCAGCCATGCCATCGAAGCTCAATTTGGCGTTATTTGCCAGGAGCCAAATGCTCTCTGAGGTTCTAGTATTCCTCGGGGTCGCTGGCTCTTTGGGTATTCTGTGAATATCAGTTTCCTGCCCACGCAGCATGCTGCGAGTGACAAGACGATTTGGCATGGCCAGTTGCACGATCCGCAATGGATGCAATTTTGCCAAGAGCCAAATGCCCTTTCGAGGCTTTAGGGAAGCTAGGTTCAAGATTGCATGCCTTCGGGGCAATGCTTCCGCCTAAAAGTTGAATCCGACAAGTATTCCTCGGGGTCGTTGGCTCTTTGGGTATTCTCTGAGTATATCACTTTCCTGCGAGTAGCGCAGACGGGCGATCTGCCAGCGACATCGTTGAAGCAAAAGCTCTGGATGTGTCTCATGCGGGTCTGGCTTCTGCAAATGTCTCGACTTGTCTGAGAAGGTATGGATCTCTCGGGACTGGTATCACTTGAATCATTGGTGCCTTTGGACCTATTTTGTGAGGTTTGGATACCAGGCGTTATGCAAGGTCAGCATTGTTTGACTTGAGCCAGGGCCACGTCCCAGTTCATAATGCAGTTCAACTGGGCTTTCCTGTCTTGGTAAATCTGATGCGTGAATTTAGCTTGGTAAATCCTCGACAGAGAGGGTTTTAGAAACTTCGGACTGCCTGAAAGCCACCCGTGGCACCAGCTGTTTCATGGTATTCGAGAGCTTCTGAGCTGAAAGCTGCCGCGCTCTGCACTGAGTCAATCGTGGCCGCGAACCGCATCGCCTCTTAAACTGCTGCCTAAATCCTCCACAGAAGGCCCAGCAAGTATTACGCCTTTTAAACAGCTGCCCAAACCCTCCACAAAAGGCCCAGCAAGTATCAGGCCTCTTAAACTGCTGCCTAAACCCTCCGCAGAAGGCCCAGCAAGTATTACGCCTTTTAAACTGCTGCCCAAACCCTCCAAAAAAGGCCCAGCAAGTATTACGCCTTTTAAACTGCTGCCCAAACCCTCCAAAAAAGGCCCAGCAAGTATTAGGCCTCTTAAACTGCTGCCTAACCCTCCGCAGAAGCCCAGCAAGTATTACGCCTCTTAAATTGCTGCCCAGAGGCCCAGCAAGTATTAGGCTTCTTAAACTGCTGCCTAAACCCTCCACAGAGGGGGGGGCTTGGTTGCGGCTTCAGGGGGGAGCTTTTGGGGGGGGGGGCTTTAAGGGGGCTTAAAAAGAGGGGCTTAAAGGGGGGGCTTTAAGCCCCTTAAAACGGGGGGGCCTTAAAGGGGGGCTTTAAGGGGGCTTTAAAGGGGGGCTTTAAGGGGGTTTTAAAGGGGGGCTTCAAGGGGGGCTTAAAGGGGGGCTAAAGGGGGGCTTAAAGGGGGCTTGAAGGGGGCGGCTTAAGGGGGGCTTAAGGGGGCTTAAAGGGGGGGCTTAAGGGGGGGGCTTAAGGAGGGCTTAAAGGGGGGGGTTGAGGGAGGGCTTAAGTGTTAGGATGATTGGTCAGATCACCTTTGTATCCACACAGAGATGCATTGGTCATCAGAGGATTGCTGGATCAACTTTGGCTCAAGTCGGAAAACATTGAGCTCGAGTGATTGCATCACACAGCAGAGTTTGTGCTTGTTGATTGTGCTTGATTGAACTGAGCAGTTCTGAGATCACCTGATTGAACAGACGATTTCGCTTTTGTAAAATTTCATGGTAGCGGAGCACTGGACGAAGTCCAAGGGCTCCTGAAAGATTGTCTAGATTCGTGATGGCAGTATTTGGAAACTTTCAAGGTCTAGGAGGAGAAATCAAATTGTTTCCTCCACCGATTTTCCATGGTGAGTCCGAGAAATGGGAAGATTGGAGCTGGCAATTGAAGTCGTATGTTTCCTTGTACAAACCTGTAGCCCAGTCATTGATGGACAGACTGGAAGGTACTTATGACCCCTGCATTGACCAGCACTTGGAAGATTTCGAAGCAGCAAACTGTCCGAATCAAAGGTTAGTTGATTTCAGCAGACAATTGCACTATCTTCTTGCACAGATCACAGATGGCCCCGCCAGATTGGTCGTGAGATTGAACGAAGGCGGAAATGGTTTTGAGACTTGGAGGCAGTTGTACGAACGTTTTGCATTGCCTGACAGAGCCAGGGGAGTGAGCTTGTTGAGCAGATTGCTGGACTTCAGATTCAGAGACGCCTCATTCGAAGCGGATTTGACGGAGTTTATTTCATTGAAGAACAAGCATGAGAAAGCCACAGGGAAGCTCCTGGATGATGACCTATTGGTCACTCTGATGGTCAACAAAACCTCAGGCGCATTGCAGCAACATTTGCGCCTCAACGTTGATGCATTGACCACGTTTTCCGATGTTGTACAGATTGTGAAACAGTACTACCAGAGCAGGCGTTTAGCCAATTGGAGGTCACCAAACTCTTCAGAGGGACCAGTTCCCATGGACATAGGTGCATTGAAAGGAAAAGGAAAAGGATTCAAAGGCTACAAAGGAAAGGGCAAAGGATTCAAAGGAAAGAGCAAAGGATACAAAGGAAAAGGCAAAGGAAAGAATTGGAAAGGCAAAGGAAAGAAAGGATGCCACAAAGGCTCAGGAAAAGGAAAAGGAAAAGGAAAAGGAGGAAAGATTGGAAAAGGGCCCGACTCAGGAACAGGATGTTTCATTTGTGGTTCGCAGTCGCATTGGAGCAAGCATTGCCCTCAGAACCGACAGTCAGTGATTGCAGAGAGTGGAGAGCTAGGATATGAATGCACAGAAGAAGAGAATTGGCCTGAAGACACTGTTGACACCAGCTGGTGGTATGACGATTGGCAGAGCGCTTTGTACAGTGAAGAAGACTGGACGTATTGGGACGACGATTCCTGGTACGGTCAGGATTGGCATGATTCCTCTCAGGACTGGTCTGAGGATTGGTCTGATTGGAACTCAGGTGCGCAACCGGTTTTTGCTGCCACTGGCAGTGCATTGAGCAGAGAGGTACCCAACGCAGGCTCGCCACCATTGGCGACCCAAGAGACTGCAGCAGCAGTCACCATTGAGAGCACAGAGCGGAGTGAAGAGAGAGAATCATTGACTCCTCAGCTTGCTTCGAACAATCCATTGCTTGAGAGCCCCAGAAGGTCTAGTGCAGCCCCCAGGCCTGTGAGACCCAGCCTTGCAAGTAGATTGTTCGTAGGAGCTTTGATGCTGATTGGAACATTGTCAGCCTCTGTTCCTCCACATCCTCGCAGTGCAGATGATGTGATTGTCGACAGAATGATTGGCAGTCACACTCCACATGATGACAGTAGCAGTGAGTCAAGCATTGAAGGTCAGAGTGAGCTAGTGCCGAACCCAACTGGCATTGGGATTGATCGCTTGTCTGATTTCCACACACAGTCAGGCATTGTCGACAGGAGTTGGATTTTGTTTGATTCTGGCGCATCAGCAAATTGCTGTCCACCTTGGTTCGCATCGGACTATCCATTGCACCCAGTAGGCAGTGATTGCCCGGCGCTTAGAAGCATCTCAGGCAAGACATTGTCCATCTTGGGGAAGCGTATTGTTGAACTTGACTGCAATGGCCACTCATTGTGCGTGCAGTTCTATGTTTGTGAGCACATTCCTTTCCCATTGGTCAGTGTGTCTAGATTCTTGCTTCAAGATTTTTGGACAATCATGGCAAAGGATTTCATGGCATTGATGACACCGTCAAATCAAACCGTGCCTATTGTTCGGCAAGGCACCTTGGTGTATCTCACCCCTACTGTCATTCCCTACTCAGCCTATTCAGGCCCTCGAACTGCATTGGAAATCAGTAGCTTCATGGATGACCTCGATCTTGAGACCATTGATCTTGAGTTGAGAGGCATCACTGATTCCACTCATTGTGAGTATGATCATCTTTCAAAGATTTCTTCATTGGTTGCGATGGCACAAGCTAGAGCAAGATCCAAACCAGCGTTCGCCAGAACCGTTGCAGCCAAAAGAAAAGCAACAAAGAACATGGATTATTGGGAGATTGATGATCCAAACTGCCTCCTGATCAGGCATCATGTGAAAACAAGACGAGCTATGTTCGGATTGACTCGTCTTCGTAGCTCGTTGCCTGTTGCTGAGGCCAGATTGACTGGCGCACGCGTCACTAAGGTGCGGTATAAGGATGGTACCGAGCAGGTCTATCGCGATGCAGATTGGAGATCTCTTGAGGATCCGGATGCTGCATTGTCTGGTGATTGGACGGGCACCACTGAGTTTGCATTGTATCCGGCTAGCGGACAGCTAGAAACCGGCGCGAAACGCACACGCGAACGCACGCGTCCGCAAGATGCATTGTCTTCTTCGCCCCGCCCGACCCGCCCCATTGAGAGTGTTCCGAGCCGAGGGACCGAGAAAGAATCAAAGAAAGTTCGCATTGTCTCGAAACAGCCGGAAAAACCGCAATCCGCGACTCGCTCTGCCCCTTCGACATTGGAACAAGTGTCACGCGGAGAGCCGCAGCTTGGAGATAGCGAGATTGCTATTCTCAGAAGACTTCGCTCGATTGGCGAGTTCAATGCGAAAATGCGTGAAGATTTGGTGCGGCTCTATCACACTCTCGATTCGACCACAAGCAAAGAGCGAACCACCGACTATTGGCTTCAGTTACCAAACTATTGGGTTCGTATGGTTCATCAGAAACGTACAGACGTACAGATATTGTGCACCCGGATGATGAGCCTT